TCTTTATGTGACAATACTCTGTTCATGAAAGGGAATTCATCCATCACTTGCAAGTGTTTGAGAAGATGATTTGATGAGAATGCAATGCCGAAAACTTAAACACCATTCATGTGCTGTAGGTGCTGATCCCATCAAGCTTGTTCACTGTTCATCACTCTCAATACTTACAATCTCATCTGACCAAGTGAAACCAACCTTTGTGAGTCAATTGTGTTATGGCTACCACTAAACATGCACTGTTTAAGCTTCCTGGTGTGATGATCATACTGGCACTAGGCATGTATGATCATAGCATGGTTCTTCTCACCTTCAGGAAAGGAGATAAAGCATGGATCATTAAATCCATATATATCGACCCATCCACTCTTACTCTGGTCCAGTCCTAGGAATCCACCCTCCCATGTCCTATCCATGTCCACCTATCTCCACTGGTGTGTTATTTTTCCCAAATGTCATTGCTAAATGAGCTGCAGGTCTTATTACACATCTACTCACGTTCCGCAGTGCATAATGTCTTATTACCTATAGACTCATTGTGTGCTTGCTAACTATGCTACAATTCTCACCTATGCATTCCAGACATTCATGTGCTACAATATAAATGACTGCAGTACATACAATTGAGTAGTTCCTTTTCCCCTGGACTCAGCTCTATAGGAGAGTTGTTCTCACATTATTTTCATGGACCTTGTGCAATCCATCTATTTTTCTCTTTCTTGAAAATCCTGCACAATTTGACCACTCTGAAGTTCTGTACTGCTATGATCTTACCCTTAAACTCTTTCAAGAATAACTGACCCATGTCCGGTAGTTTAGTGCTGTTCTTTACTTGTGCTATATCCCTTGTGACTGGCCGCTCCATAGAGTGTGGTTGATTTTGTGCGCATTACATCTGCTGCACCAGCATCTGACATCCAATATGCTTGCATGTATCTTCCAACAGTTCATCCTGCTGGAGGTGAGGACTTTGGACTATGGGGGAAACTAAAGCAAGACCTGGATGTGAGACAGAACTCAACCCTAAGGACAGCTACTGAGAGAAGGTCCTCAAAATGACTGAGGGAGACTCTGAAACTGAATGGGCACTATAGGATGTGTGAAGTGCGAATACTGGAAGAAGTGCAAAGAAGATGCGCACGAAAGCATGCTGATGTGATAGAAAGCAAGAGCATGCATGATGGGGGTCTAAAGCATAGGTGCTAGAGCTATCTGGAAATGAAATCCAGTGGAGAGAGAATTGAGCTGACTAGAGGTGATCATGTCTATGAAGGTAGTGTGCAAGTTCCAATTCTTAGTGCTTTCAAACTGGCTCAAATGTGCAAACTACTGCTACTACACAGAGGTGGGAGGTACTAGGATCCAGTACTCTAAAAAAACTCTCAGTCCCCTCTCTATATTGGGCACTAGGTGACACTTGTAGTGTGGAGGCAAAGCGAGTAGGTAGTGATATCTGTATGTAATAATGTTTTAAGCATGTGTCATATGCCATTCTGGACCCTCAACTCTAAATCCATTTCTCCAGATATCTGGATCTGAGATCCAGATCTCAAATGATCTGATCTATCTTTATCTTCCTTCTTGAATCCAAACCCTATATCAGTGCACAACCCCATTTAGACTTCCCCTGTCTCTGGACTCTGGTTAACCATGTTTCCCTTCTGATTATTGATCTGTTACATATATTTCATTTCTGGTGTTCATTATTTGTGATCCATCCTACTTACTAATAGACTTTGCATATGCTTCGTACATAGCCTTTATGTTTGCTGATTGATCCCTATATGATACCTACAGTATATAAACCTCCTGTAACTCTCAGAAATACTCCAGTTTGAATATCATCTTAGTTCCTGCTCATTCCTGTGTCCTCTGGACTCGAGACAAGTCTCTTGTCATATTCTGAGTCTTAGGATTGCATCCTAGACTACATTTCTGACTCTACCTTAAGGTGGTCTATCCTCTGTTAGTTTCTAGTCCAGATTTTGTCTGGATTAGTCTTATCCGCTTGCCCAAGTAACATCCAGACATCCATCAGGTTTATCTCACATTTCAGATCCGGATATCTGTTGTCTGCCCTAGTCAAATCCCAGAAACTCCGGACAACTGTTCTAGCCCCCGGAAATTAAGGGCACATACTTGGGAAAGGGGCACAGCATACGAGCTGAGGCCAAGCCCTTGTGATCCAACCCCCTTGAGCATGCAACCTTAACAGTGTGTGCTTGCACATTTATAGCACTATAATTGGCCCGGAAGGTATGTCAGAGCAATAAGAGTGTGATAAAAACACACCAGTGAACTTTAGTGAGGACATGGACAGGTGGACGGACTGTAGTGGAGGACCTAGAGTGGGCATGCAGGACGTGCAAGTGTGTTCATGTGCACATGGTGGTTGCGCATCAGTGTGCAATAGTGCAAGTGTCTTATCCAGAGGATCAGAACCGGAGTATCAGTGGAAAGGGGTGGTATATTGTCCAGTAGTGGCAATATACAGTGGCTCAAAAAACTGTCCACATGTTTTGACATTTTTCACTATCTATGATATTGTGTGAGAACGAACAAATGCATCAAGGACATGCTTATACCACATTGTAGTATGGCTTCAGGGCTTTCATTTGAGCCCTACACTGTGGGAATCGGTGGAGATATGGTGGAGATACAAGGCTCACAAAATGGTGACTCATGCAGACAGTTTTTTGACTCAAGTATTTTACAATAATAACCAGGTATTCTAGTATTTTGTATGACCTCCCTTGGCTTTAATTACTGCCTCTATCCTTCTAGGCATACTCTCAATTAATTTCTGGCAATTCTCAGCTGTGATCTTCTCCCATTCCACTGCTACTCTCTCCCAAAGCTCCCATACTCCTTTAGGGGGGTTTTCATATGCTTGAAGCTTTTTCTTGAGTGTTCCCCAGAGATATTCAATGACATTGATATCAGGAGACTGTGCTGGCCAGTCAAGGACATTGATGTTATGTTCTTCAAACCATTCCTTAGCTCTTCTGGATGTGTGCTTGGGATCATTATCCTGTTGGAAAATGATATCTTCTTCATCAATCCCTGATTCTGCCAAGCTAGGCAGCAAGTGGTCATTTAAAATGTCCACATACTGCTCAGCATTCATCTTCCCCTCAACCTCAGCAAGCATTCCCACACCATTCCATCCCATACAGCCCCATACCATTAAAGAACCTCCTCCAAACTTGACAGTCCCATTAACCTCTCTGTCTGTTAGGCCATCTCCCTTCTTTTTCCATACATATACCTTCCCATCTGACCCAATCCTATTGATTTTGGTCTCATCTGACCATATAACATGCTTCCAGTCCTCTACAGTCCAGTGTTGATGAGCTAAGGCAAAGGCTAGTCTTCTCTGCCTATGTTTGATGGAGAGAAGAGGCTTTTTCTTCTTTGTTACTGCCTTGAGATGAGCTGCCTTGAGAACATTCCTCACAGTTTGTGAAGAGACAGGGGTAGTGATGGTGGAATTGATATAATGGGTGGCTTGGACAGCATTATCAGCCTTTCCTGTAGTGATATGTTGGATAATAGCCCTTTTGTCAGTAGAGGTAAGCTTGGATGGACGTCTTCCACAAGAGTTTTCCTTGTCTGGGTGGCTTTCTTTGATAAACTTGGCCACAGTGGACTTGCATACTCCAGTTCTAGAGGAAATTTGGCGAGCAGAGAGGCCAGCATAAGACAGAGAGAGGATATTATCTCTTTGAGCAGAGGAGATGGCTTTCATGGTGATTATGACTATGATACATGAGATATTCTGGTTTATATAGTTAGATATAGTCATAAAATAACATAATGACACCACTTCATAATTTATATAATAGTGGCATGATTTTTGTGGTGTCATAAATAATGATTTATATAGTTTTAATATACACTCAAAAAACTGTCCACATGAGTCATCATTTTATAAGCCTTATGTCTCCACCATATCTCCACCGATTCCCACGGTGTAGGGTTCAAATGAAAGCCCTGAAGCCATACTACAATGTGGTATAAGCATGTCCTTGACACATTTGTTCGTTCTCACACAATATCATAGATAGTGAAAAATGTCAAAACATGTGGACAGTTTTTTGAGCCACTGTAGAGGAGCAAGTCTCTACACCACTCTTGTGATACTAACATCAGTCGATTCTTGCCCACACTCATGGTCAATTCTTAGGCATAGAAATTCAAAGGTATACATACAGTCTGCATTCAAGTTTCTTAGGCTGACATAGGTTATAACTCCTTTGCTCACTTACTTCCCTCACACATAATTGAAGGAAGTGCTTCAATAGCAGTCCTCTTGGGCCAATCAATTAACTCGCACCTCTTAGGATAAGTAGTGCTAGTTGCTAACCGCCTAGTATCAATTACTTCTTCACACCGGCTCACTAAAGTGATGTAAACTTGGGAGTGGCTGAATTATCCTTTTGCAGTTACTGGCAAAGATTTCCTTCTGGGTGGTTGCTCCTGTGAAGATGAAAGCACCTTTAAATTGTTCAAGTCTAAATGTTGTATTATCCGACCAGTGACCTCTCCAATTGTATGGCATGTAGACACACATCATGTTATCAAGATTTCCAAACTCTCAGGCACATGAGCTTCCACAGAGGACCCAGGAGAGTGTCAGAATGCTTGTGGAGGTGGTAGTGCCGAGAGGCTTTCCATTGTAGACTCTTTTCATGTGATTTCAAATCCTAAGATCCACCAGTGACATGTACAGGGTGGACACATGATGAGCAATTCATGTTGCGCTACAAGTCTTCCCCTATAGTCACGTGCTTATCAAAATGGTAAGCAAAGTACTAAGACTCTGTTCAGGATCACGATTTCGGCCAACTTCAACAAATTTCAAGAAATAAAAAACAAGATTAAGTAAGCATGCCAATGTGCCATGTGCCCCAGTCATGGTGTGATGTCTTCTTATCAATACAATCATGCCCTTGACACAATGCTCATCAGTATTGTGATATTCTCTCCATTTTCACCCAACCATGGCCAAAGGAAAAGGTAAAAAGAGGGAAGCAAATGATAGTCAGGAAACTGCCACAGCAGCTAGAGACCACTGCATATGGTCTCTTGATGATGAAAAGAAGCTAGTTGAATATGCAGTTCAACACCATGCCAAAGGGGGTGATGGTATGAACTTCACCAAATCTTTCTGGGTTAGTGCTGCTACAGAGATGGCAACATGCCCATGTCCTGAAGATGCTCCCAAGACACCTGAAGCCTGCCAATCCAAATGGACTTGGGTAAGTATTGTTTCATTGATATATATGCTGTTACTGATATTAATGTATATCTAGATCAAAAAGATGTATCAGGTGGTTGACAAAATTGCTAACCATGCCTCTGGTCTATCATTCCACTCAGAATTGGGAGCAAACATCACTGCAGAATCTGAGACTATGTGGGTGGGCTTTGTTAAGGTATTTTTTTATCCATCTCCCCTGCTCTATCACACTAATAATTCATGCAGCATAACCTCTCAGTGAAGCCTTTGAGAAACAAAGGATGGGCACACAATGAGGTGCTGTGAGGCATTATTCTGACACATACAAGCAGCTAGGTTGGCTTCCATGTCAGCACCAGCCTAACTACAAACATGTTGACCCCCACAGCAACTGGTAGCGATATTGCTACTACTGCCAATGCTTCTCCTGATGTCATGTTGTTGCTGGAGAATGTGCTCAATCAAGTTGGGTTCCATGATCTCAATGACAATGACATGCACTGTAGGGAATGAGAATCCTCTAGGTGTATATTGTGCATATTTCAACCCATGATGATTGGTATAGTGTATGACTCACCATCTATGACTTTCCTGCGAAATGCGCCAGAGGCACGATGCTTTTCTGCACTATGCGACGCATTCCCGCACATGCACTGAGTGTGCTCTTCCCACACTCAGTCGCCTTATGTCGCACAGCATCTGGGAGCATCCATCCATCGTCCAACCAGTTCCCTAGTGAGTCCTTTCTTGTTTATTTTCATTATCAGACCATATTCAGTACTTGTATGGCATTATTTCATCATGGACCCTGTCCTTATCTCACTTACATACATAGAGCACTCCCTATTCGCTTCCAAGCCCTGGGAGTGCGCCTAGGCACAGCTTACCTGTTGCCTAGGAAGTTTTCATACAGGGACCACCACCACAGAATATAGCTACCACCATCCAGTAGTCATCTAGCAGTTAGAATCCATCATGAGTTAGCATCTATCAGAGTCATCGCCCTAGTCCTCAGCTCAGTCTATTATCACCAGTCATCCCTCAGCAGTTTTAGTTCATGCCTTCACGCCTTCTACCAGTCTTTTACACGTTCACGCACTGCGTGTGCCATATTCCCACGCTTCGCGCACCTATGCGCTTGACATTCCCATGCACGCGCCCCCAGTGCACTTCACCAGAGTTGACCTGGTGTCACTTCATGGATATTTGCTTTCCTTGCTTCCCTTAAGGGTCAAACATATCACCTGGCACACTTCAACCAACATCTAGAGAGTCAGTAGCCTTCCTCTCACCCCAGAGGTAGAGGCATCTTTCTTTCTTTAGCTCTGCAAGCCAGCAGAGTTGTTGAACCTTCAGCGCACCACTCCAATACCAAATGATCTCCCACCTGTCCCTGCATCTATCCTACCTGCCATGTCACAAGGCTTCAATGCAGCCTTTTGTTGCCCCCTTGATTTCCACACCTGGCTCATCAACTGCAGTGAAGCATAAAGCTGATGGGGACAACAGTGATCAACATGGGTCCCACCCTCCACATTCTTCAAAAGCCAAGAGTGCAGCAGGGTCATCAAAATCACAGCATCTCACCCTGCCACTTGCTTTGGAAGGGTTGGGTGATAAAGTGGCCAGTGGTATAGCCTCCACAACATCAGTACTTAATGATATTGTTGCAGCCCACATTGTGGGACCTGTTCCATTCTGCAAGCAGCACACTATGCTTCAAGTGCAAAAGGAGATGGATTTGGATGACTATGATGCTGTGGCAATGATTAACCTTTTCCAATATGACATCACTATTGCTAATGCTTACAATAACATCACATGAGATGGCATTTGCAAGATTTTTTTAGTGCAGCACCTGTGGGAGGCAAGGAGAGTGCAGGCAAATGAACAGGAATTGCTGTGATACCTACTGCTGTAATACCTTCACATTGAAATTTTTTTTTGATGTTGTTGAAGCACTTGTTATCCACATGCAATACAATATTTTGAGTTGGCAGTGAAGGTACATTGTACATTGAAAGAAAAACAACAGCAAAAAATGACAGAACTAATTACATTCAGTTTGCACCAGGTGGCAAAGATGCTCCTCTACAGCACCATTCCACAAGGTAATCATCCCACATTGCATTAGCAATCTCATCTCAAACATCATGTGCATGAATGCATGCTGCTTCAGTGGGAGGTCCATTGGCGAGTGTGCTACTATTATAATCAGTGCTTCACTCACCTGACTCCATGTCACAATAGTCCAATAATTTGTCTGGGTCATAGATGCAGATGACATTGTGTACCAGACACAATGCCGGTGGGATGCAAGCTTGTGTGTCAGAACTATACTCAGGAGGGAGCTGAAGTATGTGAAAGTGATTTTTCAGGACACTGAAAATATGCTTGATGACATTGCAGAGCTGCATGTGGTGTAGGTTATATAATTCCTGAGCATTGCAAGGCCTGCAAAAATGTGTAAGTACTGTGCCAGGGTGATAAGTCAGGTCACTGCAACATACACCTAATTTGCATGGCCCCATTCAGCAAGGTGGTAGTTGTTATGAACTAGGATAGTCATGACGTCAACAGCTCGATAAGAGTGTCAGTTGAAGTTGAATCAAGACCTTACAAATGTAAGGGTCATAAGACAAAGCAAAGAGAGTGTCTCTGCTTTGAATATAGGTTCAGATGACTTAGGATTGGAGGTCCTAAGCAAGAGATGTTCTGGTGAAAACCTAGTAGGATTAAAGTGAAGTTCTACTAAGTACATGACCGGATATATATATAGGACATAAGTACTTTAGGGCAGGTACGTGTATGTCAGCGATGAGTCAGTGATAAGAGATGAGTCAGAGATAAGAGGTGAGTCATCTAATAATGGCTGCAGCGATCACAATGTAATACAAATATAGAAAGGACAAGTCTAGTGATGGTGTGGCGTGGCACGGTCATGACATAATACACATGTAAGTAAGGAAAATGAATAGGGGCAAGTGTAACTGTAACATTACCCCTTGTTTAGGGATGAAGTCACCAACTTCAGTTATCCTGATTGGCCCAGTAGATAGGGTCAGCATTGTAGTTTGAGTCCAGCAAGTCGTCTTGTTCCTCAGTAATAGGAAGCAACCTGTCAGCTAACTCAGCAGCATGATAGATGGCATCTTGCTCAATTTCCCAACGAGCAAGGGCTTCATAGAAACCAGGGTCAGTCCAAACCAGTGGAATGACTGCTTCTCCTTTCAGGTCTTTACAAAAGACTGACAAGTGTCCGGGTGCGTACTCCTTGCAAACCTGACAGTAGTATGCTGGGCAGTTCTTGTGATGATTCCTGGTGGCATGGTGAAGGTGAGGAATTTGGATGGGGGGGGGGGGGGGAACTAAAGATAAGAACTCTTCAGAGCTCCCCTGGACACGAGTCAAACTCGACCCAAGGGGATTGCCACTGAGAAAGGATTCCTCTAAAGAATTGAGGGGAAATGCCAAGAACTAGCTCTCGACAGAGGGCCTGGTGGAGTGCAAGAGTATGGAATGCAACAATAGGCGCCAAAGTGTGCTGGATGCGATAGGTACGCAAAGATGCACACTTCATGGCTAGGCTCTAGACCTCAAGGCGAGCGGTACTGATCTTTTTCTTGGATTGGTGGGAGATGATGGAGACTAAATGATCCCTTTTTGCAGTTCAAGTGCGAAAATCGACAAAGGTGGTAGTCAATTCTACTATCTGCTGCTATCCCGATACTAGTGGAAGGGAACCCAGTAACTAAAATTTACTCAGAGACATGTAATGCCTTGTAAGTGTGTTCCCAGGCTTCGGAAGCGAATAAGTAGCGGTAAATATCGTAAGTGATGTAACTGCAGTAAAAATAGTGAGGCAATGTGTAATTGCATACCATATGTAACTCTGTGATATGTGTTTGAAGTAAAAATAGATAGAATCACACACCAATGGACCTTGGAGGATGAGGACAGGACATGCGGATGGTTGGCGATGAGGACGCGAAAGTGCGCTCGTAGCATGTTCGAAGTGTGCATTGTCACAAATACTGTGCATGTATCGTGCTTATTGGGGGCTTCAGCGCAAAGGCCAAAACGCGAAAATATGCCTATTATACGGCTGTAGAGGACGGGGTCTCTACATCTGTGGGGGACTTAGCTACTGACTGTCCCCAGTCAGTCCTTATAGTGTATTTGGACTTAGCGGATTGGTCATTGAAGTCATGTGATCGTGAGAATACCGCTCCAGGAAAACTCGATCGCCAGTTGTGTGGATGTGGATGCGGGAGCTGTGGCATGAACCGAATTGGGAAGGGTGGTGAAAATTTTCAAAGCGCATCACGCTTCCATTTTTGCCTCTTCTATCTTATCCATCTCATCAGCAACATGATACTCAACAAGATGGCCCCCTTCAACTGCTTGCTGTGACTCCCTCTCCTGAGCCTGGAATGCACTCTGCAACTCCTGGTGGTATTGATGTCATGATGAAGGAAGTTGGGGAGACTGAGGAAGTCAAAGCGCATCACGTTTGGGCCATGCTTTGCGAGCTGCTTGATACCCAAGTCAAAATCCTCCCTGGAGACAATCCTGCGCTGTTTGAGGATAGAGGCGTGGACACGAGGCTGGGATGATCTTCTTGTGAGTGTGCTGTCCACATCACTGGTGCAGACCTAGATCCTGCCCTATAGAAGCAATTGGGCGATATCGTGTCTACTGCTTCACGCTTGGATCTTGAGTTGGATTTCGATGATGAGGGCCAAGGATTGTTAGAGGAGGGTAAGCGCGCCTACAAGGCATTCAAGAGGGAGATCAAGGATATGAAAAGCAAGGCAATCACAACTCCACCTCCTAACACACTGGCATGCGCCAGACGCACTCAACAGAAGATGGTGCCAGAAGTGGTGTTACCTCCCGTGAAAAGCATTATGGAGAAACAATCCATGGTGAGTAGGGGGTGTCACTTTTCTTTCGCATCCTCATTGGATTGTCGCATTTGTAGAAACCTGTTGCGCGGGTGTCTGCAGATCAGGCGCCTATGTGTGATCACTGCGTCCTGCTAAGTCTGTTTTGCAGAGGTACATCAGGTAGGTGCTGTGCCACCTGTGCTAAGGCTAAGAAGACCTGTTCTTTTTCACATAGTGAGTCCCCTTCGCATTTCTCATTCTTTGATGCGTGATATATTAATTTCACTAGAGGCAACTAAGAAGGCAGCCAAGACTCGCAAGGTGGAGTCTGTGCCTAACGCATCAGTTGTTTCTGCATTGGCTTCTGGTTCTCTGCGCCCTACCAACTTGTCCCCTGCACGCAACATCATGGAGATTGATACATCCAAGTCGAGTGAGTCTGAGGTCAAAAAGGAGGTGGTTATTTGTGGTTCACACAGCATCCCAGCTCACGCCATCAAGGCTCTCCCCTCATGTGCAATCGTGACTGGTAAGGGTAAGGAGGTGGTGTGCGGCACTCCAACTGATGATGCTGATGAATCCAAGGGCAAGTTGGAGAAGTTGAGGGCTGAGAATGAGCACCTCAAGTCCATCATTCGTGGCATGCGCCAGAACGCGTGCTCTCATCAGAGTCATCTGATCACTCTGTCTACCCAGGCATATGCAATGTCATGTGAGATGTCGCAGTTGGATGAAGAGCTTGCCTTTTTGAACTAGGTAGCATACTATAGGTCACATGTCCTTGGCACAAAATGTGTCTTTAGAATACTTGTCTCCAGATGGCGCCAAAGTGCCTTGTGTCGCGTCACATGTCCATGTCTGGTGTCCAAGTCCATTGTGCCTACATATTGTAAGAGAAAATCATCATAAGTGAAATGCACAAGTGAGAGTCATAATATATGAAATGATACACTTGTCGCGCAGGATCATGCCCGCCTTGTCTTCTTCTACTTCTGCTGTATTCCTCATTGCACAAATGGTAGGTCATGTACTGTCTATGATAAAAAGTGCGCGGCGCATCAGCGTGTGTTAGAAAAAGAAGGTCTAAGAGTTTGATTAGGCGCACGCTACAGTATGGTTACTTCTCTATGTAATTTTGGTGATTATGATGATTTTGATGCAATGTAATATAGTGTCTGTTGGTTTGTATGTTCAAGGCAATGTGCGTTATGAGACAGATAGAGTGAAGAGATCACCGGATGAAACCCAGGGTAAAACGGAGAGTATCATACTAGACTGTTGTGTTTTTGAGGTTTGGTATTATCTGATGTTTTTGTTCTTTGGTGATATATGTTTTCTGGATGGAGATGGTTGCGGAAATTTACAGGGAGGTTGTCAGGTGATATGCGAAAGTTGGAATTGCGTGTTAGTTGTCGATCGCGTGTTCGGGATCTTCTTCGTCTGGCTCGATTCCATCATCCACAATGCGATCTAGATCTTCGTCATTCATGCCAGTGATACTAGTCACCACGACGCAGTCCTCCCTTCATGGGAAGTAAGGGATAACGCGAAATGTGGCAAACCAAAGCTTGGAGATTGCACCATCCAACTCTGCCAATAGATATGAGCCTCCATTCGCATGTCACATGACGATCATTGGTCCCAAATACCTAGGCTTCATTTTCTTGCTCAGCTCATACTCGATCTTCGAGTTGTGAACTAGCACTAGGGCGCCGGGCGTGAAGTCATAATCTTTGATCGAGGCATGAAAGTGTTTCTCGAATTCGTGAATAGATTTATAGCACGCATTCAATACCTTGTCCTTTATAGCAGATAAATCTTCAACACACTTCTGCAGTTGGCACGCTTGCCAAGCTATGAGATCAATATTGGTAAATGCGCCCCTTTCTGGTAGGGGAGCCAGGAACATTGCTTCTGCAAGGTCAAAAGGGAAGATAGGCTCTATGCCGTGGACCATGAAGTAAGGCAATAATCCTGTTGATTTTTGTACAGTAATGTGCTCCACCCAGAATACAGAGTGAGCAACTTGGTACCAGTGGGAATCATCTCCTTTGCAAGTTTTGATGATGGCCTCCTGGACATCACGATGCCGGCACTCGACTATACCATTAGCTTGGGAATTATACGGAGAGATGCAGATAGGGTGTATGCCATATTTGTCTGCTAGCGCATCTGCAGCAAGTCTATAAGCTGGCGCATTGTCAGTAACCAATTCGGTAATAGGGCCCCATCTGCAGAGGAGTTCCTCGAAGATGAACACTTGGAGCGTCTTGGTATTCTCCTTGTGCAACATGTGCCATTCAGGGTATGATGTGAGTGCGCATCTCGCCTGTACTAAATACTCGAATCCGCCTGCTTTGGGCATCTTCATCATGTCGATATGTGCTTTGCGAAACAAACCTCCGGGTATAGGCACCATTGGCAGGATGTGCAGCCTCCTGTTCTGCCATACTTGGCATTCATGGCAGGTGCGCGTATACCATTTGACATCGTCCATCATTACAGGCCACCAGAAGCACGCAAGTAGCCGGACATGCATGGCGTACATGCCTTTGTGCCCAAGATTGTTGTGCGCTTCTTTGAGAATGCAATAATGCTTGTTAGGGCACACTACCAATTGATGTTTCCCTTGGGGGTTTCTACACCACAGATTATCTTCTAGGATGAAGAAGCGCGTGGCATTGTGGATGAATGTTTTGAATTTGTCTTCTGTGAGGTCAGTGGGTCACTCGCACGTTTGAAGAAACAGTTTGGTTGCGACTATTTTCTTGTCCTGAGCTTGCACTGCTTCCGAACGGGGAATGACTGGTTCGTTGACTGCTTGATCTACTATGTCAAAAAAGGAGCGCATGTCCAGTAAGCGCATAAGTTGTTGCGCATATGGCGTGACATGCACTGGTTGCATTATACTTGCACCGGCTGTCTCCACTTGATGCATCCTTTCATTCAGGAGCACTATGCCAAACGAGTATGCACGATCTATCCAATCCTCATGGTCATCATCTTCCATGGGATCTTCTTTGGCTGGCGGTCTCCTTGAGAGACCATCAATGCCCACGTGTTTTGTGGCAGGGACATGGGTGAGATTAAATTGAAACAAGAGGATACCCGCAATCCATCAATTGATGGTCGCATTTGGTTGCAAATCAGGATTATTGATCATACCTTTGATATACTTCGCATCCACTTCGACGGTGAGATTTGTGATGCCGAAGATATAGACGCATATGGCGTGTAGAGTGCAGTAGAGACCATAGAGTTCTAGTTTTGCCTGAGAGTAGCGGTGTTAAGAACCATGCTCAAAGGAGAGAGAGACTGACTCAGAGGGGCTTGGCCTCAGCTTGTACGCTGTGCCCCTTACCCAAGTATGTGCCCTTCATTTCAGAGGAAGTCAGATGATGGTCCAATGAAGTCCAGAGGACTTCTGGAGGCTGGCTACTCTGCTGGAGAGCGCTAGGGGACTTCCGGAGGAGCGCGGGAAATGTCCAGAGGAGCGCAGGAGAGTTCCAGAGGAACACAGGAAGTGCTCTGGAGAGTTCCCACTGCAAGGTAATACTTCTACAGGAAACAGGATGGAAGGACAGGAGGACAGGAGGACAGGAGGACAGGATGATGGAGGACAGGAGGACAGGATGACGGAGGACAGAAGGACAGGATGTCTGAAGGTACAGAGGGCAGGAGGATAGGATGTCCAAGGGTTAGGAGGACAGAACGTCTGAAGGTACGGAGGGCGGAACGTCTGAAGGACAGGATGCCTGGAGGTACGAGGGACAGGAGGTCCGGAGGTCTGGAAGGAATAGGGGCTACATTGGACTTCATCTGATGTAGAAACAAACAGAGGTAGACTACCCTAAGGTAGAGTTGGAGAGACAAGGGTTGGACCTAAGTCCAGAAAGAGGGTAAGTGCCGGAAAGGTGGAGCTCTGGCCTAGGGAATCAATCCCTAGGCCTGATGGGTAGGACAGACTTAGGTGGACCAAAGTCCAAGAGAGGATTGGGCAAGTCTAAGTTGATATTCAAACTAAGGAACTACAGGAGTATCTACAGGGGTTATACTGAACAATATCTGAGGGGATCAGTAAGCAAAGGAGCAAGGCTATGTACGAGCATGTGGAAACACATTAGTAAGTAAGACAGAACATAACTAAATGAACTCGGAGATGAAGACTCATACAAGGATCAATAAGCAAGACAGAAGAAGAGGTAACCAAAAGCTGGAAAGCAGAGAATGCCTAAATGGGGATAGGCGCAGGATATCGGACAGAGGGTGGGAATAGGTCCGGAGCTAATATCCGGAGGTCCGGAGATCTGGGGATCCAGAAGACAAGGTGGATACAGGACCAGAATACAAGAAGGTGGATATAGTTCTGGAATCTGAGATGAGGTGAAGTCTGGATGTCTTGCTGGATGAAGTGCACATAGGGTGGACAGGATAGGGTTGTACAGATCAGGCTAGCAGTGAGGATCTGATGGTCCGGAGCTCAGGGGTAAATCCAGAGTGTAGTCAATCCTGCTGAGGTGTGGAGCACAGCGGAAGGGGATCTTGGAATGAGCTGGATATGATGTGGGGTCCGGATGTGGGCTCGGAAGGCGTGGGAATATGATGGAACGTGGGTCCGGATTGTGGGACATGACAGACGAAGGTGATATCTCCTTGGTATACCTGTACTGCATTTCCATGTCCTTGTGGTAATGTTGTCAACCGATGAGTGTTACAATCGTGGTTACCCCCTGTCTCTTTTCTCTTATCCTTGTGTATTACGTCGTGACCGCACCTTGCTGTGCCATCATTAGACTGACCGCTTTCCTTGTATTACATCACAATCGCCACACACCATCACTAGATGACTCATTACTTATCTCTGACTCGACCGATGATGTCTAGATGACTCATCGCTTATCTCTGACTCGACTGATGACGTATACTTACCTGCCCTAAAGGGTCTACGTCTATATAAACCCGGTCATGTACTTAGATAGATCTTCACTTTAATCTACTAGGTTTTACCTGCACTATCCTTCGCTTAGGACCTCCAATCCTAAGTCGTCTGATAACCGATATTCAAGCTAGAGACACTCTCTCTGACTTGTCTTAAAGAACCTTACATTTGTGAGGACACGATCCGGCTTTAGGCGTACTCTTATCGAGTACCTATCGTCGTGCCCATCCTAGTCAACCTACAGTTCGCCGTAACAATGAGGTCCTAATGGTGTCCCAAAGGTAGTCAAGTCGCGCGATTCTTCATGGAGTGCACACTGATCATACCCTGAATACAGGTCCATCATACCGTATACAGCATATCCTGCAAATGATTCAGCCAGATGCTTGATAAATGGTGGCACTGAGGTGTCCTGTATTGTGACCGCGTTGAGCGGTTGTAAGTCATGGACTAGGCGCAGTGACTTGCCATCCTTCTTGACAACACAAAACCAGCACGATCAAGAGGCGGCTGTCGACAGCTCATATACTTCTGATGCAATCTTCTCCTTGATAATGCGTATAACTTCACTAAGTGTTGTGGGAGGGATAGGGATATTCTGTTGCGACCAGGGGGTGTGTGGTATGATTGGAATCTTGTATGGTGGGAAATATTTCTCATTGAGGTGGCCTCTCTCTGAGGCATCCCATGCAAATGCGCGTTCATGAACATGAACTAGCCAGCATACAAGCTTAAGTTCTTCTGGCCAAAGCCATTTCGCAGGGTCTAGATTGAGCTTTGCAGCACGCTCACTCGTGAAACAACTTCCTGGAATGAAATCTGGGGGATGAGGTGGCAGTTCTGGCATGCCAGCCAATGGGTCAGCGGGTAACTCACGCACTAGCCTATACTCTGCAGGCATGGTAGTGGGCACTGTGCGCACTTTCTTCGCAACTGGTTTGTATACCAGTGCGTGAAGCGCGCGATCATAATAGTACACAGAATTGAAGGCGTCAATAGCCTCTCGACCTAAAGCTGAATGGGTAGATGTCAGGTGCACATAATGTGCGGAAATGTGCGATGATGATAAAGGATCATAGAATGAGGAAATACTATGCGAAAAAACTGAGACTGATGTGGCATCGCTCCTTGGGAGCTGTGAGTGAGGAACTTCTGCGTGCGCTTCGGAAAGAGAAAAAGACTGCGTGTCTTTATGAGATGGAAATGTATACCAGGGTTGGATTATATATGGAGTGTGGGTGTCTCCCCACAAATTCTGCAGATCATCGATATCTAAAAACCCTTCTCTTCCTCGACTTGGGACAACTTAGGCGCATGTTGTGGGCAAGGTAGCCTGCTAGCGCAATGGCCACATCGCTTCACCCATTGTTGAGTGGGGAGGCATAACTCCTTGCACGAATTGGGATCTGTCAGTAGGATATCCTGATCACCATTGGGTAGGTCGAACATTTTGCAGGCCATGAGCTTGAAGAATGGGTGCCCTAATAGGATTTCGAAGTTTGCACACTCAGTGACTTGTACCTGGAAATACATTGGTCCTGTGCCAAAGTCCAGTGGCACGTTCTCGACAACTCCGAGTGTTGAGTCCTTTGACATATTGACTGATTCCATGTTGAGGTGATGGTCCGTGCACAATCCTACACCTAGTGATCTCCAGACTTCTTTCAGCATTACTACTACTTCGGTGCCTTGATCAAGGACACAGGTCAATACCCATCCCCCAACCGTGATCGCGCAAATACAATGTAGTGGCATGAAATGGTCCGTGACCACCTTGCCGTCATTGCTTCTAAGTCAATCTTGCTCAAATGCATGTATGAATTCTTCTGTCATAGGCTGGCTGGATAATTCATTGACAGAGACTGTGCTGATGGTAACATGTTTGGTCGTGGTCAGTTCCTGGAATTGCTTGCGGATGTCTGGTGAAACTGCAAATAATTTGCAAACGGGGATAGTGATATTGCCGTCTAAAAGGCACTCTATGACGCGTTTTTCTGCATCCTTATCTTCAAGCACGAATGAAAACCTATATTGACTAGATGAAGAAGAGGAAGAATTTGTGTTAGCAGGAGGTGACCCCAGTGATGCTGCAATAGCGGGCGCCTTGGCCGTCTCTTTCGGCTTGCTCATTGATGTTGACGCCGCAGAGGTAGCTTTCACTCCCTCTGGTGCCTTGCCTTTGCCCATTGAAGCTTGAACAGCTGGAGAAACTATTTCCTCCGTCTCAAGGGCTTGTCAAGATATTGGACCAGGGCGTGCGCGTGTTTCGCTAGCTACTGGAGTGCTGTCAGATTGTACACTCTTACCCTTAGCCTCATTCCTTGTGCTACGTCTCTGATCACACTTAGTGGTCGCGTGCATCACCTCTTGGTTGTCTTTGTCCATCTCTGGTTCCGATTCCGCTATGGTATGCACGAACACAGACAAGCCTACGTCTAATGCGACCTCTACATCTGGTGATGCGTGGTAAAAGATGCCTGCGGTAACGCTAGTGTTAGGGAGCGCTGCCGTTGCAGTGTGGTTAGTATGATATCTGTCAATATGTTCCTTGAGCGACCCCTCCCTGCCTGGGATGTAATTACCGTTCGGCAGGACAAACCTCTGGTTTGTCTCATTGACCTTACATTTGCCAGCTTCTATATACCTTGTCTTCTCTTGGCAGCAGCTGAGGAAGTGTTCAAGGCTACCACAGAAAACACAGTCGTCCCTCAGGGGCGCATTACCACATTTGTACGTGTACTTGCATTTCATTACCGAGCCATGCGCTAATTGCTGTGTGGACACAGGCATTGTGCTTAGCCTTGTGAGGGGTGCTGTCACCAGGGCACTGGCCTGGGTCACTGGTGCGTTGGCTGTGGCTGGTAGTAAAAACTGTCCAGCTTCGAAGACTTGCATGTAGGGGTACGGGTCCCGTGGGTTGTGATCTGGAGGCATGTGTGAATTTGCGCTTGGACATCGCTTGGTATTCCTTGAATGAATACGCGATCTTGTTTGGACTTCCCTATGCAGTCTTCATTGATGAGTGGCTGCATAATCCTTCTGAATGCGTGAAGGTAGTCACTCAATTCTTTTGCTGAAGACATTGGCTTGGCCACTTGACCACGCGTGACCGCCTGAAGGTCGTCAAGCGCATAGCATTTGGGGCCTTCTCAACCGGGATACATTACCTTGATCTCCTTAATAAATGCTTCATAATCGCTCAGTGTCGCCTCAGGCAGTCCGCCCCATAACTCCCTTTCGTTTGATGGCAGATAATGAATAATACCTTTGATGTGGTCAAGCCTGAGGAGGCCCACCTCATCGGCGTGTCCTTCATAAATATCGATGAAGTCAACAAGATTCTCCATAGTTCCGTCAAATTTTGGGGCTTTGTTAGTTCCATGGATAGGCATCTTGTAAGTCGTGGCCATGGTCACTTGCTGGGTTGTGTTGATGATGGGGTTCGGTTTGAGCAATTGCGGTTCATGCTTGCACGAAATATTAGCTAGTACTATGCTGCCTGGGATAGAGTCTGGTGTGCGAGGTGTCTCAAATGCTTCTTGTTTGATGGGCAGTGCCTCCAGAGTGGGGCATGTTTTCTGGAGGGTGGATGACGACATGACAGGTGCATCTTCGCTGTGGGTGGTCAGTTCATTAGACAGGCTGCTCAAGGCAGTTAGTGCAGATAAGGAGGAAATAGTGCTAGCGCTTGTCATGGCTAAGCGCTTGGGAGTGTTAATAAATGCCCCTGGGGGTAAGTTCCTTGGGTTGTCATGCACTTCGAATTTGTCAGATGATTCACCTTTTGTGGAGTCCTTTGGTGAAGGCATGACCGGTGATGCTGGTGCGCAGGGGTTTGGCATGAAGAGTGACTGATCTGGGCACGCAGGTTCTGAGAAGTGTTGCGCATGGGTTCTTCATACTGGAATAAAAATCTCTTCTGCAGACGCGATTCGCGGGTCAGAAATTGCGATATTGAATTCCCTGATGGCTTCTTCCCTGGCTTTGCGCTCCTTGGTTGGCCTGAGTGACCTGCTAGTCTTCTCAGACAATCCCCTCACAGTGGGCTCCAGTTGAAGGCGAGGAATTTGGATGGGGGGGGGGGGAAAACTAAAGATAAGAACTCTTCAGAGCTCCCCTGGACGCGAGTCAAACTCGACCCAAGGGGATTGCCACTGAGAAAGGATTCCTCTAAAGAATTGAGGGGAAATGCCAAGAACTAGCTCTCGACAGAGGGCCTGGTGGAGCGTGAGAGTATGGAATGCGACGATAGGTGCCAAAGCGCACTGGATGCGATAGGTACATGAAGATGCGTGCTTGACATGCGAAATGCGCACTTTGTGGCTAGGCTCTAGACCTCAAGGCGAGCGGTACTGATCTTTTTCTTGGATTGGTGGGAGATGATGGAGACTAAATGATCCCTTTTTGCAGTTCAAGTGTGAAAATCGACAAAGGTGGTAGTCAATTCTACTATCTGCTGCTATCCCGATACTAGTGGAAGGGAACCCAGTAACTAAAATTTACTCAGAGACATGTAATGCCTTGTAAGTGTGTTCCCAGGCTTCGGAAGCGAATAAGTAGTGGTAAATATCGTAAGTGATGTAACTGCAGTAAAAATAGTGAGGCAATGTGTAATTGCATACCATATGTAACTCTGTGATATGTGTTTGAAGTAAAAATAGATAGAATCACACACCAATGGACCTTGGAGGATGAGGACAGGACATGCGGATGGTTGGCGATGAGGACGCGAAAGTGCGCTCGTAGCATGTTCGAAGCGTGCATTGTCACAAATACTGTGCATGTATCGTGCTTATTGGGGGCTTCAGCGCAAAGGCCAAAATGCGAAAATATGCCTATTATACAGCTGTAGAGGACGGTGTAGGGAATGAGATTCCTCCAGGCGTATATCGCCCATATTACGACTCACAACAATTGGTACAGTGTACAACTCACCCTCCATGACTTTCCCACAAAATGCGCCAGAGGCGCGATGCATTCCCACACTACACGACACTTTCCCACGCACGCGCTTAGCGCGCTCTTCCCACGCTTGGTCGCCTTATGTCGCGCAGCATCTGGGAGCATCCATCCATCATCCAACCAGTTCCCTGGTGTGTCCCTTTTCATTTATTCTCATATTTAGCATCATACCATATCTTATTTCGTCATGGACCCTTTATTTACATCATTTACATACTTAGAGCGCTCCCTGTTTGCTTCCGAGCCCTGGGAGTGTGCCTAGGCACAGCTTACCTGTTGCCTAGGAAGTTTTCATACACCTACCACCACCACAGAATATAGCAACCACCATCCAGTAGTCATCTAGCAGTTAGAATCCATCATGAGTTAGCATCCATCAGAGTTGTCACCCTAGTCATCAGCAACAGTCCATTATCACTCAGCAGCCCCAGTTCACGCCTTCCATCAGTCTTTACATGTCCGTGCACCAGCTTGTGCCTTATTCCCACGCTTCGCGCACCTATGCGCTCCATATTCCCGTGCGCATGCTTCCAGCGCACTTCACCAGAGTTGACCTGGAGTCTCTTCATGGATTTGCTTTCCTTGCTTCCCTTAAGGGTCGAACATATCACCTGGCGTACTTCGACCAACATCTAGAGAGTCAGTATGCCTTCCTCTCACCCCAGAGGTAGAGGCATCTTTCTTTCTTTAGCTCTCCAGCCTAGCAGAGTTGTTGAACCTTCAACAGGGTCTCTACAGTGGCAATTGCAGCATACGACGTTATCAACTGTTGCCATTTTTACTGTGGTGATGGAGGTCAACTGTGTTGGGGGAGAAGGGGATCTAGATCGTCATTTACAATTTCTGTGTGGGGAGGCCGATGCGGTACACTTGGCGATGCGGGTGGATCTGCGCCTAATAGGGTATCGATGTGCAGTGGGTGTGATGGGGGTAGGAGACGGAGAAGCTGGTACATTAAGTACAGCAATAGGAGGGATATTGTCATCCTGATGCTCAATGGTAATTGTTGGAGGAATTGGCAGTGGGATTGGAATGGCAATGTGCGGAGAGGGAGGACATGCAACTGGGTCGAGAGCAATCCATTCTGTGACAATGTGAATAGCTTCTCTGATAGCCTCCCTAGTATCATCAGGCAGAAGACAGATTGCAGTGTTATGAATGCATATATGAAGATGATGGAAGATGGTCTTGTGACATTCATCATCAAGAAGATTGGCAGTATGCTCGATGAGACTAGCATCTCTGATGATTCAGATGATGAGTCTGCTAGATATTGCTCCTCTTTCTCCTAAGAGGCGATCTATTTCAATGGCGTATTGCTGGGATGTGATAGTGGATTCAAACAAGGCGCTGGTTTCAACTTGGTCAATGATTGAGAAGTAATCGGTGAGAATGGAGTCGTTGGTCAAGGTAGAGTCTAATGATGGTGGGGAAGCAACTGGGGAAGATGCATTGGCAGTGAGGTTGGTGGCAGTAGCAGTTTGGTAGTCAATGAGGGATGATGGATTAGCAATGTTTTCGGATACAGCATTCATAGCAGCGGTGAGCTCTTCAATTCATTGGATACAGAGGCATAGGCATTCAAGAGACATTGTTCTGTGGTTACAATTTGTGAGTCTTTTTATATGCAATGAGGATGTCAGCAGCATTGCTAAGGTTCTCTTCTGGAACCCATTTGTTACTAGCAGAAGAGTATCCTTTCCAGGATAAAAGATAACGTCTTCATTTACCCGTGCCTTTGTGTGATAAGATTGCATCGATTTCATACTCTTCTTCATTATCAATGACATCTGGGGGTGGATTGTGGAAGTTTGGGCCATGAACCTCTGTCTCATGATAGGACGATAGTTTGGAAGCATGGAACATGGGGTGAACTTTCCATTGTGGTGGGAGTTGGAGTGTGAAAGTGATGGGAGATAGTACTGTGGTGATGGAAAAAGGGCCATATCGTTTCGGTGCAAGTTTCCACAATGGTAACTGCGTGATCAAATTCTTTCCTGATAACCAAACCTTATCTCCTATTTTCCACGGGTGATATGTCTGTCCATGAGACCGTTCTGCCATTCACTGCATAGCAAGGTTATGGCAGGACAGTGCTTCTTCTCTTGATTTCTGGAGCGAACAAAGTCTATCTTCTGCTGCAGGGACAGTAGAGTCAGGGAGTATGTGAGGAAGGGCTCTTGTTTTATATCCCATCATTAGGAAGAATGGGGAGGTGTTATGGGAGTTGTGTTTTCGATGGTTGTGTACAAATTCTGCCATTGGGAGATGTTTTACCCAATCTTCGGGGTGATTTCAGCAATAGATTTGGAGATAGGTTTCAAGTTCTTGATTAAGACATTCAGTTTGGCCATCAGTCTGAGGATGATAAGCAGTAGATGCAGCTATATCGTATTTCAAGAGCTTGGCGAGGGCTTTTGAGAATTTCGATATGAATTGCAGCCCATGATCAGAGATAACTTTCTCATGCAGGCTGAATCGATGGTAGACGTATTTGAAAAATTTCTTGGTGACTCCTTTGGAGGTGATGGTTTTCGTGCAGGGGATAAGAATTACCCCCTTAGTAAGCCCATGGTCGACCACGACCATAACAGAGTCAAAACCAGCACACGGAGGAAGGTCAGTGACAAGGTCAACAGAGACCTGGGTGAATGGCACCGCAGCAGCAGATGGAATGGGGACCAGGGGAGGGGTCATTGGATGAGTGTCAGATTTCATCTGCTGGCAGAGGGCGCAGCCTTCAATGTATTTCCAGATATAGGTACCCATAGGGCCACCAAAAGTCCCGCTTAACCAGTTCTTCAGTTTTAAAATGCCCAGGGTGACCAGTGGTAGTGTGATCATGACACTGCTCCAAAATAAGGTGCCGACCAGCAGGATGGACATAGGCATGGTCTTTATAATAAAGGATATCATCTTTTATCATCAAATCCACAAGAGCGGATTTCATAGGGGGGAGGGAAAGGCCATCCAGGGCATCAGAAGCAGCTTGGAAAATGGGGTCGGGGTCAGAGGGATCAGGGTTGGCAAGGGAAGTCATTAGTTCAACATCAAGAAGGCATATGAACAAGGAGTTGGGGAGTAGGGTGACATCCGCATTATTGCTGGCAGTGTCGACACCATGATCAGGGCAGCAGGAAAGTGCATCTGGGGCAGCAAGCTTGGTTCCCGCTACATGATGAAGCTCAATGTCATAGCAGGACAGAAGCAATTGCCAGCGGGCTTGCTGACAGGTTAGCTTTTGGGCTGATTGGAAGTACAAGAGGTTTTTATGGTCGGTGAAGATGAGGACAGGATGTGGGTTGCCTTCCAAATAATGACACCATTTGGTTAAGGCGCAGATAACAGCCAGAAGCTCCCAATCAAATATCTGGTAGTTGCGTTCTGTGGGGTTCAACATTTGTGACAGATACCCACATGGGTGGTAAACACTGTTTTCATCGGTTTGCAGCAATACTGCACCAGTAGTGACAAGTGAAGCATCGGTAGCTACTGCAAACTGCCTGCTTGGATCTGGGTTTTGCAGGACAGGTTGTTTCAGAAAACATTCCTTCAGGGTGGAGAATGCTGAGGCGCAATGATCTGACCATAGAAACTTGATATCCTTCTTAGTGAGGTTGATTAGGGGTCTAGCAATGTCGGAATAATGGGGAACAAAGTTTCGATAAAAGTTGCAGAATCCCAAAAATGACTGAACTTCTTTCACCATTGTAGGGGTAGGCCAATCACAAATACCGTCAGTTTTAGCAACATCCATTGCAACACATCCAGGGCGTATAATCATGCCTAGATATTCCACTTCTTGCGCATTGAATGTGCATTTCTCCGGTTTTAGGAACAGCTTTTCTTTGCAAATTCTTTCAAGGACACGCTGGGTCCA